TTGGATAGAAATAGGACGAAGGGGAATTGCTTCAAACTAAAAGTGGGAGATTTAGATTGGATGTTAGTAAGACTGTTTTTAGTTGGACTCATTGGAATTGGAGTCACTAAGAAGTTATATATGCCCTATTTGTGGGGGCAGTCAAAGCCTGCATAATTGAAGCCTTGTTCAAGAACATCCTGAGCAGTGACCTTGACCAGAATAGCACTGCACACAGAGAAGACAGAGTAGTGCCTTACTGTGCTGCGTGTCTGATGTGGCCTTCATGGCTGTGCTGGGATGCTCAGATTCCTTGGCCCCGGGACAGCCTCAGCAGCTCCGTGGAGCAGGGCAGCCTGCAGGTGGTGCCCACTTGGTTCCACCTGTGTGGCCTTGCCTATATTTGATTGTGCAGTAAGAAGCTCATGTGAGAGCGTTGAAAACCTTGAATCATCTCTTGCAAACACAGGCTGTAAGACTCAAGAGCAGGTCGCTTCAAGAGGCTGGGATGGAACCCATCAGCTCATCCCACTAGACCATAATGTTCTTGTCTAGCTAAGGAAAATGCAGCAAATAAAGCCAAAAGACTCATCAGGTCGATCTGCAGAGTAAGGGAAAAGTAAGATTTATTGAGCTGTAGAGGCAAAAAGGAATAAGCATTCATTTGTGACTCATACTCACTGAAGGAGAATTAAATCACAGCATTCAAGAGTGAAGACAAATCACTCCGAGCACAGAACAGAACCATGAGTTGTGACCTTATATGAAGAAACATACAATTGCTGGTGCAGGAACTGCCTTTCTTCTGCGATGCCCAATGCAGATAACTCTGGAATAAAAGCCTCTGTCCAGCATCAAGATAGGGAAGTCCTATGCAGACTGACTTTGCAAGACCTCTGCCAGTGACAGCACAAAACAGCAAAAGAATCTAGGCAGTAGTAGATCCTTTTCTGAGCTGTGTGGAGGCTTTCACTTATTAAACCAGCACAGACTTCTCAGCTGTAAAGCTACTGCTTTACATCATCTTTTTCTTCATGCTTTATTTATTATTATTATTATTTTTTCTGCACAGTAGGGTCTGATTTCAGCACACTTTGTTTCAGGCTTTATGTATGAACACTACAGGGCTTGAAAGCAACATATCTCACCTGAGCTCTGACAGTCCGCGGAGTGAAAGTGATGGAGATGACCGTAAAGGTTCCAACCTTTGTGATTCTATGTTTCTTAGCAAGCAGAGCTTGGAAGGCACAAGTTGTGATGCTAATGGTGTGGACTTGTTTGTCTCAGGAGGCTGCTTGTCCAGCAGGCAGCAATTTGGAACAGGAAACACATCCCATAAGCACTCATTCCAGCAGGAACATGACAGTAGCCACCTTGCTCAAGAGGAGCCTTGAATTGAGTGGAAAATCTTTTCCTTACCTTCAGGCAGAGTGCCTCCAGATTCACCCATCACTTTCATCCCCCCACTGTGCACAACAGCACGGAGTGTGGCTCTGTATTCTCTAAGATCTCCATGCAGGCTCTCACAGGCTGCAGTGATGTGCCCTCAGCCTTCCCTGACTGCTCTGCCAGGGCACACCGCTGCCTCCTGCCCGGCTCCCTGTGTGCCAGGACCACCTGGTTCCACCTCCTGATGGCCGTGCTGGGTTTCCCATCTGTGGCCTATCAGTGCACTGTCCCAGCCACAGCTCTGCCATGCCTGCGCTGCACAGGACAGGTGTGTTCGGGGTGGGTTCCCCAGCACAAGTGCCCATGGCAGCCCTCAGTGCACCACACTTCTCAGCAATCCTGCTTTTCAGACCCAGTGCTGCTCCAGCCGTGTCCTACACAGGGGTCTGCAGACAGCCCTGCTTTACCACCAGGAGCATGGAGACAGCTTCAGGAAAAAGCTCTGCCATAAACATGCAGTCAGTGCTGGAAATGGCTGGTGTGAGAGGCTGAGGGTGGCAAAAGTCCAGAGCCACCTTCCTGGTCCACGTGTGTCCACAAGGATGTAGAGAGGAAGGGGAAGAGGGATGGAAGGGAGAAGAGAGCAGCACTGCAAAGACCACATCGTGCTGCTCTCTGTGGCCATTGGAGCTGGGAAGCTGCGGCCATGACTCAAACACAAAAGAGAGGATGGAACCACTGGGCATTAAGGGGCAGCCCAATGACAGTGAGGCTGCTGCTCTGTGTTGCAGCTGGGCTCCTGGACCCTGCACCACTCCTGCCTACATGAGTCGCTCCTCCAGTTTCAGAGGTGGTAAAACATGGGAGCACAGACAACTGAATTTCTGCTGGCTTCCTTATTGTACTTATCAACAGAGCTCCTTGTTCTATGGGTACATGAGATGAGAGTGTCAAAACACTACAAAAATGAAGCATGCCAAGAATAACGGATTTAAATTGAAGTCATGTCTGTGAAAATAAGAAGAAAAATAGAAACAAGAGATTGTTCTAACAATTTCTGAATTACTGTGAGACTCATCTTAGGCTGGCATGCATCTTGCGGATGCTGAAGTATGTATTGCTCACTGCAGTCTTGATCTCCTGGTTCCTCATGCCATAGAAGAAGGGGTTCACTGCTGGAGGCACCACCGAGTACAGAAATGACACCACCAGGTCCAGGAAAGGGGAAGAGACTGAGGGGGGCTTCAGATAGGCAACCATGGCAGTACTGACAAAGAGGGAGACAGCAGCCAGGTGAGGGAGGCACGTGGAGAAGGCTTTGTGCTGTCCCTGCTCAGAGGGCATCCTCAGCACGGCCCTGAAGATCTGAACATAGGACACAACAATGAATACAAAGCACCCAAAGATTAAACAAAGACTAAAATAGATATTCACAGTTTCCCTCAGGTAGTCTGATTCTGAGCAGGAGAGCTTGAGGATATGGGCGATTTCACAGAAGAACTGGTCCACAACATTGCCTTGGCAGAATGGTATTGAAAATGCAGTGGCAGTGTGCAGCAGAGCATAAAGAAACCCAGTGCCCCAGGCAGCTGCTGCCATGGTGGCACAAGCTCTGCTGTCCATCAAGGTCCCGTAGTGCAGGGGCTTGCAGATGGCAACGTAGCGGTCATAGCACATGATGATGAGGATGGAATACTCTGCTGATATGAAAAAGAGAAAGAAAAAGCCTTGTGCAACACATCCAGTGTAGAAGATGTGCCTGGTGTCCCAGAGGGCATTGGCCATGGCTTTGGGGAGAGTGGTGGAGATGCAGCCCAGGTCGAGGAGGGCGAGGTTGAGCAGGAAGAAGTACATGGGGGTGTGCAGGCGGTGGTGGCAGGCTACGGCTGTGCTGATGAGGCCGTTGCCCAGGAGGGCAGCCAGGTAGATGCCCAGCAAGAGCCAGAAGTGCAGGAGCTGCAGCTGCCGCGTGTCTGCCAACACCAGGAGGAGGAACTCGCTGATGGAGCTGCTGTTGGGCATCTGCAGTTCTTGGGCATGGAGTCCTGTGCAGAGTGCAGAAGATAATGACAAGTCAAGGCCATTCTCAGGGACACTCCTCCCAACATAGGATAAATGCTTTCCTTCCTCTTAGGTAAATGTCCATGTGACTCCATAGTTTGTGTTTAATTTCATGAGATGCAGTACGTTCTGCAGTGATGACCCTGCTGCCTTGCAGGAGCTGTCAGTTCAGGATAGCCATAGGTATATCCAGGGAGAGTAGGAATTCAGATCATTTGCTGCTGAACTGGGCTGGGCTCCTGGGACACAGGAGCTTCTACAAGTAAGCAGCGCAGCAGAGAGACAGCTGTGCAAAGGAGCAGCTCCTGTGCACCACGCAGACTGGCTGTGGGCATGAACTACAGGAGACAAAGAGAAGAAGAAAGAGAGTTTAAAGGCTGCATTGCATGCTAGCAGGCTGTGAGCTCATGCAGGGAGCATTGTTCAAAGCCCTTGACAAGGTAAGTTTCTCACTGCAGGCTTTTACTGGAGGAACCACTAAATTTGAGATATCTCACTGCAAAATGGGATGCATATACTTTGTTTCTTTATCATGAAAAAGACCTGCTGCAGCTGAGGGCTTCTGTGCTGAAGTATCAGAGCACAGCCCTGAGGGCTGCATGTCCCAGGACGGCTGCAGGCTGTGCAGTCGGGGCTGCAGCCGGGTGCCCAGGGCTGTCCTGCAGAGCAGGTCCTGCTGTGCCCCAGGGGCTGTGTGCCGGGGCAGGGACTGTGCTGCCTGCCAGGCTCAGCACTCAGCCTGCCTGGGGAGCTGCCCAGGGCGCTGTGGGGAGATGTGTGGGGGGAAGGAGCCCCCCGGCAGGGCAGGGCAGGGCAGGGCAGGGCAGGGCAGGGGCCTTCTGCTGCCACAGCTGCTGCCTGGGGCAGGGGGATCACAGATACACTGTACCATAGGGTGTTTACAACTTGCTTAGCAAGAGGAGAGATAAGGCAGGAATTGTTCATTTCCTCTTCTTATCACTGGGGAAAGAGTTGGAGGCTGAAACGTAACAGGAGCTGGGAAATATGAAATATCTATGAGAATCCCCAATTGTGTACTCTTCATTCTGCTGTTAAGTGTGCAGTCTCCTTAAGTGCTTTCAGCCTCTGCTCTCCCAAAGGACAACTCCAACTGAAATTATTGTCCTTTTCTGCAGGCAGGAACACACACTTATCCTGCAAAGATACAACTTTCTGTAAATCAAATTTAAGTACACAGAGGTTGGGATCACTGTTCTGAGTGCAGAGAAGGTAAAAATACAAGATATGAAAACAGCTCTGAAGAGCAAAATATGCAGGAAGATTGGTAATTATTAGGAAATGATATCACATATGAAAACTGATATTAAGAACAAAATATAAAAGAATCTTGGTACTGAGTAAATGGGAAATGAGACAAAATAAGAGCTACATAAGCTTCTACTTATAGAATAATGAATCCCATGAAATTAAACACAAACTATGAAGTCACATGGATATTTTCCTAAGAGGAAGGAAAGCATTTATCATATGTTGGGAGGAGTGTCTCTGAGAATGGCCTTGACTTGTCATTATCTTCTGCACTCTGCACAGGATTCCAGGCCCAGCAGGAACTGCAGATGCCCAACAGCAGCTCCATCAGCCAGTTCCTCCTCCTGGCGTTGGCAGACACGCGGCAGCTGCAGCTCCTGCACTTCTGGCTCTTGCTGGGCATCTACCTGGCTGCCCTCCTGGGCAACGGCCTCATCAGCACAGCCGTAGCCTGCCACCACCGCCTGCACACCCCCATGTACTTCTTCCTGCTCAACCTCGCCCTCCTCGACCTGGGCTGCATCTCCACCACTCTCCCCAAAGCCATGGCCAATGCCCTCTGGGACACCAGGCACATCTCCTATGCTGGATGTGTTGCACAGATCTTTTTCTTTCTCTTTTTCATCTCAGCAGAATATTCCATTCTCACCATCATGTCCTATGACCGCTATGTTGCCATCTGCAAGCCCCTGCACTACGGGACCTTGATGGACAGCAGAGCTTGTGCCACCATGGCAGCAGCTGCCTGGGGCACTGGGCTTCTCTATTCCCTCCTGCACACTGCCAATACATTTTCTATACCCCTCTGCCAAGGAAATGTCGTGGATCAGTTCTTCTGTGAAATCCCCCAAATCCTCAAGCTCTCCTGCTCAGATGCCTATCTCACGGAAGTTGGGATTATTGTGTTTAGTATCCTTGTCTTTTTTGGGTGTTTTGTATTCATTGTTGTGTCCTATGTGCAGATCTTCAGGGCCGTGCTGAGGATGCCCTCTGAGCAGGGACGGCACAAAGCCTTCTCCACGTGCCTCCCTCACCTGGCTGTGTTTTCCCTGTTTCTCAGCACTGCCATGATTGCCTATTTGAAGCCACCCTCCATCTCCTCCTGGGCCCTGGACCTGGTGGTGTCATTTCTGTACTTGGTGGTGCCTCCAACACTGAACCCCCTCATCTACAGCATGAGGAACCAGGAGCTCAGGCATGCAGTAAGGAAAATGATGCCCTGGTCACATTTTATCAGAAATAAACTTCTCATCTGTCTCTATAAATATCTCACAGTCTGTTCCATTACAGGCCTGTATTCTGCTTTTTACTGCTTGTAATTATTATATATATATATTAATAGATGCATTTTTCTTAGCTGTTCATATATATACGTGTGTGTGTAATTATCATTAGTGGTTACCATGTTCCTAAACACGTGTTTGGATTCCAGCAGCTCCGCTGAGACATCTCACTGCTCTCTTTCTCCTGCAGCCCATATAAACTCTAGGTCAGTGCTGTCTCTCACAGCCTGTGTTCCATCTCTGTATCTACAGGCAGATGAGGTGCCAGCAGGCTCCATGGAGCTGAAATAGGCTGGATTTGCAGAAGGGATCAATGTATTAGCATAAGGACCAATATATTATATTATCAAAAGGCATCAGAGTGTGGTCATCCTAAATCTTCCCAGTTTAGCTTTGCTTGGTGTGTGAACAGCCCTGTTTTTATCAATGAGCCTGTTCCACAGAAGCACTGAAATCACTTATTTTTGCCTCCACCAGGTGCAAGGACTTGTTCTTGAGTTTGGTATAAACTTTTGGAGTTACAGTGCACCAAGATAGAAAGTTGCTGATTGTGGCAAAACAAGCAATGGAAGTTTTCCAAATTGGGGGAAAAGAGCTAAAAGGTGAGCCATAATGGCACCATGGTGAAGAGGAAGATGAAATAAAGGGGACGAAGTAGGTGCTGTTAGAAGGAGGACATGCAGTGTCAGGGGCTGTGCTGGGGCACATCTCTGTACCACTGCACGCATGCTGCCCCACACAGTGCCTGCACTGGGCTGCCAGGGGCTGCCTGTGGGGTGGTAGAGCCGGGCTGTCCTGCAGAAGGGAAGGCACACGGAGCCTCGTGCTGCAGGGCTGGGACCCCAAAATCACCTGGAACTCAGCGCCCAGCTGTGCTGTGCTCACCTTGCCTGGCTCCCAGGTGCTGCCTGTGCTGCTCTGTCACTGCCCCTCCTAGCAGGACGGGGGAGAAAACAAAATCCAACAATTCCTGGGTCGTGGCATAAAGGTTCTTTATTCTTTCCTTGCTTAAAACTCAGTGACAACAAGTGGTGTGTGTTAATGGCTACATATCAAATGCAGGGTTTTGTTTGTTTGTTTGTTTGTTTTTCTTTTTTCTCCACACTTTGTAACAGCTATTGAATTCAGTGTTCCTTTCACATTCATGTATTATTGAAACTACACCTAACCCACCACACATTTGACTCATACTTTAGGTAATTCAAATGATTTGCAACACAGAACTCTGCTCACCGTTCATTAGAATTTCACATCCCTGTCATTCCCTACCTACCTACTCTAATCAAAGTTACATGCCATGTTTGTGTTTCATATTTGTTCTCTCACATCCTGACCTATTTTCCTAATATTTAACAGTAACTTCCTAAATCATCCCTGTGTACAATTTAGATATTTCTGTCCTCACTGTCAGACCCAGTCTGTTGTGTCCCTGCAGTTCAGGTAAAGATTCACTTCTGAATGCTTTGGTCATGTGCTGAACTCCACACCATTCCAATAACAGCTCTCTGGATCCCAAAGTGAAGGTTGCTAAGTTACAGAAGCACACTTATCCACCAGGTGCCAGTTGTAAGCAAAGCAACAATCTAATAAACAATTTCTTTGTGTGTGCTGGAAAAAGATGTTTTACTACAATGCGACCTTTGTCCTCAGATTTACTATGCTTTGTTTAGCTCAATATTTTAAGGATCTAAATGAGAAAGCAGTATTTTCCCAATACTTCATTAAATGTTGTAGTTTTTTATGGTCAGAATGATAATGTGGGTGCTTTTTCAATACATCGGTTACACAGACTGGTACAAAAATCTACCTGGACTTTTGGAAGTCCTTTGTCATGGTCCCACATCACATCCTGATCTCTGTGGAGAGATACGTGAGATGGATTTGAAGGGCAGACTGCTCATTGGAGAAGAAATTGGTTGGAAGGTCGCAGCCAAAGGACTGTGGTAAATGGCTGTCTGGGAAATGAGCTCCACCAGGTGGAGGCCGATCACAAGTTCTGTCCACAGGGGTCAGCCTTGGGACCAGAGCTCTTCAACATCTATCAGTGGCATGGATGACGAGATAGAGCGCTCCCTCAGCAAGTTTGCTGATGACACCAAGCTGCATGGTGCAGTTGGCACGACAGAACGAAGGGCTGCCATCCAGAGGGACTGGACAGGCTTGAAAAGTGGGCCCAAAGAAACACCATGAGGTTCAACAAGATCAAATGCCAGTTTTTTGCACTTGTGTCAGGACAATCCCAGGTATGAGGGAAGAAGTCCTGGAGAGAACTGGGGAAGGACTTAAAAGTCCTGGTAGATGAAAACCTTAGCAGGAGCCAGCAGTGTGTGCTTGCAGCCTGGGAGGCCAACTGTGCCCTGGGCTGCATCAACAGAGAGGAGGTCATCAGAGCAGGGGAGGGCATTGTCCTTTTCTACTCAGCCCTCAGAAGGACCCATCTGAAGTATGACGTAAAGCTTTTGGAGAAGGTCCAGAGGAAAGCCACGAGGGTAATCAGAGGGCTGGAGGACCTCTCCTAGAAAGACAGGCTGAGGGAGATGGGAGAGGAAATGGCTCAGAAGAGAAAACATTGCAGCCTTCCAGTACTTTCAAAGAGCTCAGAAATAAGAGGGAAACCAACATTTAGCAATGGGCAGATATTGAAAGCACAAGGTACAAATATTTTAAGTTAAAAGAGGTGAGATTTAGATTAGAGATTGGGTGGATCTTTTCAGTGAGAGGGTGGCGAGGTTCTGGCTGTTGTGATTTCATGATTTTTTGTGTTGTCAGTATGCCACATTAAAACATCATGTGAACCAGTGAGAGTTAAAGAGTTAGTGTTCTGGTTCCATTTGCTGCCTTTTATGGGCATTTTGAGTATTCTGAAGGGAGGGAGGGGCGGAATTCCTGGAGCTGTGGCACAAAGAAGAAGATAGGTGGAGATCCGGACTGGACCACAGTGGCTCTGCCTCAGGCCCCGCTCAGTACACAGCAGAGAAGGGCATGTGCTTCCCTTGTGCTATCGTGGAGACTCACACTTTGGGCACACTTTGATTCAGTAGGATTTCAGAAATTACCATTCTTCCTCCGATGGTTGCTGTTGTGATCCATTTGTTAAACCCATCTACTAGCTCTCTGCCCTTCCATCTCTCCCAGAGCACGTGGCCCGCGGCACGCCTTGCTGCAAGGCCAGGGCCAGCAGGATTGCGCAGCAAAACTCCAGTACCCTTTTCTTTTTATTTCTTCACTCTTTTGTCACTCCTTTTTTTTTCTTTTTTTTTCTCCTGGGGCCTGTGTCCCCCCTCACACGGTCTTAGATCCAGGGATAACTCCGTAACACAGGAGTTTAGAGTGAATGGTTGAAGGAGCGGGTTTGCAAGCGGTATTTTCCTCTCTCCTTGTTCTGGGGTGGTGAGGGATACGGAGCAGTCTCAGAAATTGCAGGCTTTGAATAAGTGGCAGAAAGAATCATAGAATCGTAGAATCACAGAATCACAAGGTTGGAAAAGACCTATAAGATCATCTGGTCCAACCGTCTCCTCATCACCACTGCCACCACAAGCACTAAACCACATCACGCAGTTCCTCATCCAGACGCGTCTTGAACTCCGCCAGGGACGGCGACTCCACCACCTCCCTGGGCAGCCATTCCAGTGCCTCACCACTCCCTGAGAGAAATAGTTCTTCCTTATGTCTAATCTAAACCTCCTTTGATACAACTTGCAGCCATTACCCTGTGTCCTGTTTGTTGCCTGGGAGAAGAGGCCAAATCTTTCTTCACCACAACCTCCCTTCAGGGAGGTTGTAGAGTGCAATGAGGTCTCCCCTGAGCCTCCTCTTCTCCAGACTGAACAATCCCAGCTCCCTCAACCGCTCCTCATAAGACTTGTGCTCCAGACCCCTCACCATTTTGTCACCCTTCTCTAGACACGCTCCAGGACCTCAACATCTTTCCTGTAGTGAGGAGCCCAAAACTGAACACAGTACTCGAGGTGCGGCCTCACCAGTGCTGAGTAGAAGGGGATGATCATCTCCCTGTTCCCGCTGGCCACACTATTTCTAATGCAGGCCAAGATGCCGTTGGCTATCTTGGCCACCTGGGCACATTGTTGGCTCATGTTCAGCCGAGCATCAACCAACACGTCCAGGTCCCTCTCTTCTTCACACTCATCCAGCCACTCATCCCCAAGCCTGTAACACTGCATGGGGTTGTTGTGCCCAAAGTGCAGGACCTGGCACTTGGCCTTGTTGAACCTCATCCCATTCACTTCAGCCCAGCGGTCCAGCCTGTCTAAATCCCTCTGAAAGGCCTCCCTACTGTCAGGCAGATTGACACCACCTCCCAACTTGGTGTCATCTGCAAACATACTGAGAGTGCACTCAATCCCCTCAGCTAGGCCATCATTAAAGATATTAAACAAGATGGGCCCCAGAACCGACCCCTTGGGGACACCACTTGAAACGGGTTGCCAGCTGGACTTCACTCCGTTCACCACGACCCGCTGGGCATGGCCCTCTAGCCAGTTCCTTACCCAAAGAAGTGTATACCTGCCCAGGCCACAGGCAACCAGTTTCCCCAGAAGAAGCCTGTGAGAGACCGTGTCAAAGGCTTTGCTGAAGTCTAGACAGACTACATCAACAGTCCTTCCCTCATCTGCCAGACTGGTCACCCAGTCATAGAAGGAGATGAGGTTGGTCAGGCACAACCTGCCTTTCACAAACCCATGCTGGCTGGGCCTGATCCCCTGGACACCACGCACGTGCCGTGCAATTTCACCCAAGATTATTTGCTTCATTACTTTCCCCAGTATGGATTTCAGGCTAACAGGCCTGTAGTTCCCTGGATCCTCCTTGTGTCCCTTCTTGAAGATGGAAGTCACATCAGCAAGCCTCCAATCCTCCGGGATCTCCCCACTTAACCAGGAGTGCTGATAGATGGCTGAGAGCGGCTCAGCAATCACCTCCCCCAGCTCCCTCAGCACCTGAGGGTGCAGCCCATCTGGTCCCATGGACTTGTGACAGTCCAGATAGAGGAAAGGCTCTCTGACCGTCTCCACCTGAATCGCCGGGGGTATATTTTGAGTAGGGTCTCAGACTTCCAGATCAGGGCGTAAAATGCCCAGTGGATAACTGGTCTGGCTATTAAAGGCAGTTGTAAAGAAGA